GTGGCCGTATTTATGTATGTATTTATTTTAATCCCACTTAAACGCATTACGCTACAAGTCATTGCTCACTCTCTTGTCTGTTTGATCCCAATCCAAATATTTATGCTCAAACTTTAAGTTGGTAGCTCCTTAAAGCAAGACTCTGTCATCCTTAATGTCTGTAAGCTCCAGAGTGACTCTCTTTTGATAAATTTTTGTGCTTCTCTGCTTTAGAGCTAGACCTGTGTTGGAAAGATAGAGGGATGTCCTCAGTTCTTGCCTCTTGTGTGCATGGGGGTCCTACCAGTGCAGCTCTGCAATGAGCATCTGGAGCAGCAGCAGTGGAACTAGATTATATTAATCTCATTTTTATGGTTTTCTCAACAAAAAAGGAACTAATTGCCATGATTCTACAAAAAGAAGGGGGTTGATCACGTGGTTGCCTTGTAAGCCAGTATAGCCAGTACGTGCTTCATCAGCCTTATTTGCTCTAATTTAAGTGAGGTTAAATCTGTATACTTAAAACTGTAAGGGATAAGAGACACTGCCCAAGGAGGAAGGAAACTTCATGGAATGTAGCCAGGCTCTTTCTGCTGCTCATCATTTGTGAGTCTTTGTCATATCTTGTTTTTCCTCCCGGAGTAGCATTCTGGGAAAAACTCCTCCCAGAGTTTCATTTTGAGCCTTAAATCTTTGAGCTAAGTTTTTAAATCTCTGAAGACATCTGGGTTTCACATTCGTGTGATTTTATGAGCTGTCTAAATACCCTTCGGCTTCACCAAACTCTTCACCTTGTGACGTGAATCGTTTTTCTATATAATTCACCAATATACCTTACTTCTTCCTTCACTAAATAACTAAAGATGCAATCCCGATCCTGCAGGAATCAAGGGAACCAGGATTTCACTCCATAGGTTTATTGTAGTAACTTAATGATTAAACAGCATTGTTTTTCTTTTAAGGTGAAGAAAACAGAAAAAAAAACCTACCAGGCACTCGGTGTGTTTATGTCGTTCAGATTATTTTCCATACATTGAATGAATTGCATAAGCAGATGATATTTACAGGTGACTCCTGCCCACAACTGACCTTCACCTTTTCCCGTGCACTTCCCAGCTTCTCCTTGAATTTTCCTGTTGTTTCCTCTTAATTGCCCCACATTTCACACCGTGTTTTCGAGCCGGCCTCCTTCCTTGCATGGGACCCTTCCACCAATTCCCTAGAGATCAGTATTCACAATTCCCTTCTTTAGCTTCATCCTCTCCACCTGATTTCCTTGGCAATTGCGGAATCTCACCGTTTGGAAAAATAAATCCAGTGTTCAGGTCTCCAACCTTTTCCCTTTGGGGGATCATCACTCCTTTGGGGAAGGAAGTGGAAACACTTCTTCAGGAGTGTTTATGGCACACATTTAATATGAAAACCTTATATTTTTTTTTGCTCCATGTGTGCACGCCTGTGTTTTGGGGCAGATAATGCAGGAATTGCACAGAACCGTGTCCCTCCTGTCGAGAGGTCAGAGAAAACCCATGTTTGGAGTCCAGCAGTGTTCCCATGGCTACCTGGACAGGTCCAGCACAGGAGCGGGAACACTCCTGGTATTTAACGGCCTTTCCAGGTGATTTATGGTTTTGCATAAGCTTTCCCTAAACCGAGAGGTTTTCCAGGGTTGGCACCTCCTTGCTTGTCTCCATGCCCTGCTAGTTCTGTGTTCAGTGGCCCGTGGTTATTAAAATTCTTATCAATACAGGAGTTTTTGAGCGGGGTTCTTGTTTTCTGGGATCACACATACCTTCCGAACTCCTCAGCCTAACCAAAGGAACGTGGGTTTTTTTCTTTTTTCTTTCTATGCCTAAGGTATTTTATAAGAGAAACGCGTAGAGTACAAGTAATATTTGCCTTCAATTACAGTAATTAAGTTGTCAGGGCTGGAACTCGCCAAGGGAATGAGAAAACCCTTTCCTGGTTGGCCAGGGGGTAATCGCTCCTGTGGTTGCAAGGGCGTTTTACGCATCGGAGAAAGACCTGGGTGTCATGGTGGACGACAAGGTGACCATGAGG